TCCTCCTTCTTCACTCTCTGCTCGCTGGCTGATTGCCATTTCTCTTTCTCAAGCGCTCGGAGGGGCAGGGCTGCGTACAGCCGAGCGGTTGGCTTTTGAAGCCGGCTGCTACTAGGACTGCATCAGGCAGAGCAGATTGCTTCGGAAGCACTTACTTTCCCAGCCCACCACCTTTCATCGCACGGTGTGACTGCAGCCTCGCAGCAGGTTGGAGGAGGAGGAGGCATAGCTGTGTTTGCTTTCTGTGGCATCAGTTGACATTGGCAGGAGTGGTATTCGATTCCCTGCAAGCTGGGAGAACCTGGAAACCGGGGAAGAGAGAGCTTGGGACTGGAGCATCATTGTGGAAAAGCTTAACCACCTTCATCTATATTCTGTAGCATCTGCTCACCCTCTGTGCGCTTGTGGGGTGTTTAGCTTCAAACAGGGGGAGGCGACTGAAGGAGCATCTAGATGTGTACTACAGACTGATGCTCTGCAGAGGAATTCCCCATGCCCATAACAACAGTACAGGATGATTTGTTAATAGGAGCACAGGACTTGATGGACTGGATCGGAGCCCTGCTCTGTCTAGTCGGGTATCTGGTGTCGAAGAGTGGCCAGCGCTGCAGGGAAGGTGTAGGGGAAGACAGGCTAATCCAGCAGTGAAATGTCTGATTTGACTTTGCTCTATTCATTGGCTCAGGCCCTTCAAATAAAATGATTTCAGATCTTTTTCTCCCTCTCTCCTTTGGCTTTCACCTTCTGCTAGCTGCTGTGTCTCACCCAAACCAAATCTTGGCCCAGGGAGACAGAGATAGGGCAGCCAATCACTCCTGCCAGAGATTGGGATGCACGGACCGTGCTTGCTGGGTCCTTGTCCAGAGCTGGTTGTAAGTTCTCGGTTGCCGTCAGTGTAGGAAGCAGCAGAGATGGCCCTGAGATACTCCATGAGTACGGAGTGCTCTGACCCTTGAGTAGCAGAGGCTTTCTCCACAGGGGACAATTAAGGTCTATGCTAATGTATTCCCATCAGCAGGGCTTCTCTCCAAACTGCATGGGAGCAGGTACATGTGTCCCAGCGTGGAAATTGTAATTTCCTCTTTCAGGCCTTCTAGTGGCCTGCTCTGTTGCTTAGAGCATGGGACTGTGAAGTATTCTGAATGCCTCAGTTTTTCCATCTGCAAAATGGGCGTGATACCCAAGCTTAAAGAATGTTGAGACTCCTAGGTAAAAAGTCTCAGCATGTGTGTGGCTGGGTACAGCTGGGTACAGCCCTCCCCTCTACCCACCACCTCATGGCAGAGGGTGGCTTCCAGCACCTCCTTATCTGCAGGCAGTCCCTCCCCACCCTGCTTTGCTGCAGCGAGTCCTAGCACTTGCTCCGAGTTCCCAAAGGAAGTAAGGACAGCCACAGAAGGCGGGTGGGTGACTGACCCCTCCGTGGCTGGCACGGGAGAGAGAACAGGGAGCCAAGAGCAGGATAAGAAATGCCTGTGAGCACAGCGAGAAGGCTGGAGGGATCAGGCAGAGGGTGTTTCGAGTCTTGCTAACGTCCGTGCGCCTCAATCGACATGCTCACTAGCAAGCTGCCCTCTTTCCAAGCCAGAAGCCTTGAGCAGCTCTTTTGATGAACTGTTCTTATTATTTGTAAGTTGGGCAGACCCAGCTCCCTGCCTCCTGCCAGCTCCCTCTTCCTCCAGAGCAATTTTCTTTGCAAGACAATAAATAGTTGCAAGGGGATCCCATAACTCACTGGAGAGGGGTCAGGAAACCTGCTTGCAGCGCCCTGGTGCCTGGTAGATCATTGGCATTATGAACTGCCTCTTCCCTTTGCTCCTCTGTACCTGGTTGGGAGCAGTTTCAAACAGGAGGGAGCAGGACATGGGGGGGGGGATACATTTGGCTCCTAACTTACAGATCTGCTATGTTCCTTTGGCTTCCTCTCTGGGTTGGGGGGATGTGTCAGCAGCTGGCTTCTCTCTGATCCAGAAGAGCCTGTGAAATTTTGCCCTCAAGTTGGGAGAGAAACCTGCTTACTGTGGTCAGACATTGTGTTTTTCTTTGGAGGAATTGGATGATTGAGGGGAGCTGGGTTTTACTGCCAAATGCTCCAAACATTCTGGCCAGCGCTGCTAGTACGAGAAGACAGCCCCTAATAATTTACAGGGATGGGTACTGACCAAACAACTGCTTTTCCTAGCTTTAAATAGAACATCATCTTTTCTCTCTCTCTCCCTGACCCAGCATCATCATCTCGTCAGAGCCTCAAAGATTCATTTTTCCCCGGCCTGCAGCTCTCTTCTGCCCGTGCTCTCAGGGCTCCTGCCTCACGGCTCCCCTTACTCTGGAGCACTAAGAGTGCCATCTCCAGCTGGTCAAGGTCCCCGGCTGGGGGTTTTGCTGGCTTTAATGTTCCTTCCAAGTCCATGCAACAAAGTACTGGCTTGTGCAATGGACAAAATCTCCTGCAGAAATTCGCCGGCTGGAGCCTGGCACCTCCATGGCACTGCTTGGGGCCTGACAGTCCTAGACAAGGACTAAAAGATTAAGTTAGTTTTCCCTGCGTGCATATCTAGTGCACACGGAGGGGCAGAAAGCAGACAGCCATGGATCTGGTTTTCCCCAAAGTGTCCAATCAAGTATATCAGCTTCTGCTGTGAGCTACAATCCCGTTATTAGTCGTGGGCACGACCAGGGCAGAAGTGACTGATGCTGCCATCTATCACTCTGCCAGCTTCATCTGGCTGCGTACAAAGCTCCTTGCCTGAGCGAGGCTCCCACTGGCAAAGCCAGCCATTGAAATGCTGGAAGGCATGTTGGGATACAAAGCTCCCAGTGATACTGGGTGAAACCCAGCCTTTCAGAAACCTGAACTGTAGCCTGATGCAGTAAGTAACCATGAAGCCACAGCTGTCTGAATGGAGCCATCAACAGCCTAACCATCCGGTTTTTGCTGTTGCTGCTGTTGCAGATGCAACTCTCCTAAGTAGCCCAGTTTCTGTCCACGGAAGGGAAAGACACTTCAACTTCTAGTCAGCTATTTGTGAGCCATAAGTTTGGTGCCAGTCAGGCCTTTTTAACTAGGATCGTATGAGGCTGATTTGCCTTCTGAGAAGTTATGGTCTTATGTGGGTATGGACCAAATGAACAGGGAATTGTTGTTCACCGAGTCCCAGAACACTAGCACTTAGTATGTGATCTGTTTAAAACTAACAAGGGAAAGTCCTTGTTTAGACAAGCTGTATTTAATTTGCGGAATTCATTGCCACAGGAGGTGGTGGAGGCAGACAGCAGAGCCAGGTGCAAAAAAAGAGACAGAGAGAGAGAATAAAAAGGACCCGATAAATTCATGGATGATAGGGCTATTAATGGCTATCGACCAGAATGGTTGGAGATGCTTCTTCTGGCATTTCTAACCCAATACATGGTAGATGCCAGGAAAGGTATTGAATAGCTAGATCACTCTAGAGGTATCTGGTTTGATGCTCTCCCTGTATAGCAAACACTTCTGCCACTGTTGGAGACAGGACACGGAGAGAGAGACCACCGGTCCGAGTCATTTTGGCACCGGGTATGTTCTTATGGGTGAATTCAGCCTCTGATGCATCCTGCTGTGTCAAGAGCAGCACATGCATATAACCTTGGATGACTGCATTGCATCAGGGAGTGGGAGATGGGATTTCTTTGCCCCTTCCCCCATCCCACCTGACAAAGTCATGTCTGCCCAGGTGGGTTTAACTGTGGCTCAGATGCTGTTGCATGTGGTACAGCTGGTGGGTGTGGGCCTTTGCAGGCAAAAAAGCCAGGTGCCACCCTAGAGAAGCTTGCAGCCTAGATAACAGTAACCCCAAAGGGCCTGGCTGCACCTCTCTCCTCTTCCAAATTAAAGTGCATCTGTCAGGGGTTGGGCTTGATGCCTTTGCTTGCCAGGAGCTTGGATTCTGCCCTGCTTTCATGGTTAGCTCAGGCACTGGGTTACATCTCCCTGGGCATCAACTGCACTCACTCCATCAGTCTGATGGGATTTGGTTCTTCATTTTGGGAACGTGCGACCGGCGGTGGAGGGAAAGACCCTTTGTGAAACCAAAGTGTTGTGTTGATGCTTTTTAAAAATTTTTTATTAGGCAATAGCATTTGAAGAGATGCTTTTAGAAAGGCCTAAATGCACAGCTGTACTTGAGAGAGTCTTGCCATCCCTCGGCTGCACCCCAGGCAAGTCCTGACTTCTTCAGACTCCCCAGTTGGTGCCTGTCTCCGTCCGGAATTCTCTAAACATTTACACATCCTGTTTCCCCATATGAGAGGATCCCTTTTTAAGTCGCTCTCCTTTTATCTCCTGCTCCCCAGCTTTTTCCTACAAAGGCATTGTCTCTCAACAACCCTCAAGTGTTTTCTGAGAAGTGGTGGCTTATCTGGAGCTATTCTTCTGCCTTTCCTGCTTATTTGTTTTGCTTGCGGCCTCCTGCTAAATGAAACGAGTGTATTGAAACAGCAAATATCCCAGGAACCCACCCACATTGCTTATACTACACTGCCTTTTTCCATCGCAGATCTTTCCTTAAAAGTGATCCTGAACGTTGCGGCTGAGATTCGGTTCCATGGGTATCAGCCTTAGTGAATGCCATGTGAATGGGTGGCAGGTGCTGGACACTTTGTACTTGTATGGCTCTCTTGGGCCAAGAGAGAGTCGAATTGGCTCAAAATCAACCTTGTTGGTCCCCTTTTGCTCAGGGTGGATGTGATCGGGTGCTACAACTAGCAAAGGAGAGAGGGAGATGGGTTTATTTTGGGCAGAGGACAATGCCTGCCTTCATTCAATGCCACATCTTATTGTCTAGTTAACAAAATTAGCTCCCCTGGAGGTTTTCACAAGCCCTGGTTACTCTCCCCCTTGCAGAGCATTTTTGACAGACTTGACAATGATTAACTAGGTCTCGGGCCGCCGGGGAGAAGGGGCGGTGGGCTCTGAGCCTGGCTGGTCGGGTTCTCACACACGGGCCTCCTTTCTCTCCAGGTCAGAGTCTGGAGGTACCTCAAAGGCAAAGATATCGTGACTCATGAAATCCTCTTGGATGGTGGGAACAAAGTGGTGATCGGCGGCTTTGGGGACCCCTTGATCTGCGACAACCAAGTCTCGACAGGGGACACCCGGATTTTCTTTGTCAACCCCGCCCCCCAGTACATGTGGCCGGCACACAGAAATGAGCTGATGCTGAACTCCAGCCTGATGCGGATTACCCTGCGCAACCTGGAGGAGGTGGAGCACTGCGTGGAAGGTGAGGATGGTGCCTTGCATGTCTGTCTGTCGCTCGGTCTGTCCGCACGGCTCGCCTCTCTTGTGAGAGGCCTAACTCTGGCTCTGTGGCCACCTCTTAATCTCAGCCAGGGGTGGGGCTGGCCTGAGGGCAAAATTTCGCCTAGCAGCAATAGGCTGATTAGCAGGCACAGTATGTGAGCCACAGCTCTCTGTTACTAGAAGGGGGCTTGACTTTTCAAAGGTGGAGGGGGCATGTCTTCCAAATGAGAAGGCATCATCCAGGCAGCGTCTCCTCTTCCTGAAGGAGGACCAGACTTCAGGAGGGATATGGGGACAGGTAGAGGGTCTTGAGACTCTTCTCTAGTCCTGCAGTTGGCATACACTGTGCTACATCCCATTGCCACATGCATCTTCAGAAGATGATGCTCAGGTTCAGGTCCTTCTCACGAGGAGGAGGAGGGACCTGTGTGCTGCATCTCCAGGGCTTGCCTCTGCTGGCTTGGGGAGCACGGTGGATATTCCTGTGTTTCCCTGGTAAGCCCTTATGCTAGACAAGCACCTCCTCTCCTTAATGACTGTAATAACTTGACCTGTAGGTTCCCAGGGGACACGCACTTGGGCTAGGCTTTGCTGTAAGCCTGGGAAGTTTTCCAACTGGAGGCAGCCAGTGTTTGACTATCTGTGAGAGCATGTGTCACTCTTCCAGCCAATCTAGGTACCATTGTCAGGGAAATGAGATACCGCTCCGCCATGGATGTTACAGGGACCGGCAGAGGGGAAGTACTTGTGGAAGTAGCGGATGTGTGACTTTCAGTGCAATCCTTGGTGTCCAGATGCAGAACTGAGTCTGTCTTTGGCAGCTGGAATGGCAGAGACCCAGCCTTTCTCTCCCCTCCGCTCCCTGGCCCCCATTACCCAAGGACATGGAAAATTTGCTTCTGGAAGATCCTATTTGCTGTGCTCTTCATTCGCTGTGTTAATGAGTATGCTAATGTGGATGGATGGGGAAGTACGTTGAACCAGAGCCTCTCTGATGAGAGCTGGCGGCTACAGATGTTGTCCAAGGAGCAGATGAGTAAACAGGGGAAGGAATGCAGGGATTCTGCAGCAACCAACAAATAAACACATAACTCGGCTCCTTCCTCTGTCCTGGGGGTACGAGGAAAGGGCATAACCCCTTCCTGCAGCTGCAGGGTGAACGACCAAGTTCCCAGCTCTGGGGGCTGTGGATGTGCTTAATGCAGCAGAGTGGCTCTCAAGCCCAACGCTGCCATGCTGGAGGTTTTTTGCAGGGGGGTAGTAAGGTGGAGGATAAGACAGTAGACTGTGCTATATGTCTTTTTTACTGACCTTTCTGGTAGTACTATACACATCATGCCTTTTATACAGAGTGCATACTCTCTCTGCTAAAAATCACTATGCTTCTCCATGCTTTTAGAGTCTCAATTGCAGTTTCAAACTCAGCGGACACTTAGGAGAGTCTTTCCTTTCTCACCCTTTGCAGTCCTGGTTGGCTTAACCCATTAGGATACACCTGCACTGCAACCATTGCTGGGACTGCATTAAAAGGAGACTCACCTGAGCCAGCTTTAAAGCCAGCTCACCTGGTGCTGCTAGGAGCAGTAGGAGTGGCACCACAGAGCTCAACCCTGGCTGGAAAACCTGGCTTGGGTGATTAGTCTGTAGTAAGGTCTGTGCTAGTGTGGCTGCACTGCTAGTGGGAACCAAGCCAGATATTAAAAGCTGGCCCAGGTGTGTCTACAGGAACTGCAGTCACAGCTACACAGAGGTCTGTTAAGAGCCTGAGCTCCTAGACAAGTTACTACTGGCCAAACAGGGGTGGGGACTTCCAGGATGTGAGTCTTTTGTGCATGCTTTTACCCTGAGGTGTAAACTAAAAGCTAGATTACCCTGCAGTGAAAATGGGGTGAGCTTCCCTAGGCTAGGTTTCGTTTGCTGTGGAATAAGCACATGCACACAGGCAGCTCCTAGGCTCGTGTCCCCTGGGGTGACTTGTCCGGGTGCCTGTGCTCCTAGTCTCCCCTGCTCCGCCGCGAGGGCGTGCAGAGGGAATGTAGAGGATAAATATTTGGCCCTTGGGAAAAGATGCGTCATGTTCGGACTGCAGACTTGGTCTGTTTTCCCCCCCGACCCCTTCCCACCTGCTAAGGCCCTGCTCCATGTTGGCTCAGCTCTCTCCCCTCCAAATGGTTGAACCTGCAGAGACACTGGTGTTTGGGACCCTTCCTCCTAGTCGCTGCTAACTGTTTGGAAGGGATATTGTGCCTCGGGTCTGTCGGAGCAGAAGGAGATCTCATGTAGGGAGGCAGGTGTGTGGGTCGGGTCTTGCACATTCCTTCGCAGCATCTGCTCTTTCCCATGGTTGGAGGTGGAGCTCTGAAACAGCTGGACCATGGCTCGGACCCAGAGCCTGCCCCTGCAGCTTGGTGCATGATACTCTCCCCAGATGCTGTGGGGAATGAAGGGATGGGGAGCGTGGGAGGCATTTTGCTTCTTTGTGCCAGAAGTCCCGAGCAAGATTTAACGGAGACTCTTTTGTGCTGGCACAGCCCATTCTGCCTGGAGGAGACCGGCAGGACTCAGTTGGGCTGGATCAGTCTGACCTCGAGCTCAGGTCAGGATGCAGTGGTTTCCTCTGAGGCCGGGCCCCAGTTAGCAAGTAGGCTAGGGGGTTGGAAGTGGGTAACTTGAGGCCGAACTGCACCTTAGCGCAGCCAGACCCTGGTCTTGATAGCTCGGCCAACAAGCAGCTAGACCCCAGCCTGAGCCAAGCTGCTGCAGCACGGGCGTTAAATGTTCTTTCCTGCTCATGTGGCGAGAGCCAAACACCGTCCCACATGAACAGCCCCCTGGCTGAAGACCCATCCTCTGGGCTCGCAGCGCCGGGGCTCACTCAGCCTCCGCTTGCTTCCTCTCGTCTCCTGGAGCCTGCCACCACAATGGTATGTGTGGGCTTTTGTCGCCGTGCCAGCTGTGCCCACACATTGTCCTTCCTCTAGCATACATCCAACTCCTTGGTGGCAAAACAATTAAGCCCTTTGTGTGACTCCCAGCCCATAGCTTCCCCCAGCCCTTCAGTATCTGGTGTAAGGCCGCAGCCCCGCAGCAAAAGGCAAAGGCCGATCCTGTTTGACTTGCATGGCCTCCTTCCTCTGCCAAGAGACACTGGCGTCCTGTGTCCAGTTGCTGAGCTGGCCTGTGGGGAGAAGGTCAGGAGACGGGCACTTGTGTGGTCAGCGGGGATCTGTTCTAGCCCAGTACTGTTTTCTCACGTCATTCCCGCAGTGGTGGTGATAGAGCCGTTGTCTCCCATGTAGCCATACCCTGCAAGCATATGTAGGGGTATGCAGCAGGTACCCACATACTCGATATGCACCAGGCTGTGTGACAGTGCCTCAGTGTACCCATAGTTAGATGTGCTGCATGGACCACATGCTTAGCAGCATTAAAGCTTAAGCCTTTTTTCGCTCACTGTCCCTCCTCAGTTCATACCCAGGTTGGAGCTTTGGGTAATATTAATTACTAAGCTTTTCCTCACATCAGGTAGGAACTGCATCTTTCTTGGACTCCAGCTTTGTGCAAAGTTAATTTGTTAAACAGCTCGTTTCCTTTAACTAACTAAGAGCCTCTTCCCAATAGCTCACAGGGGAGCTATTTGTTAACTGAGATACAGCCACTGTAAATGTTGCAGGAACTGGGGCTGTGGGGTGGGCCGGAGAGAGTAAAGTAGGACTGGGGGGTAGGCAACAGAGAGCATTTCTGTACAGGGTGGGACTGAATTGGACTGAATCCGTGTGGGGTGCTGGGAAAGAACCAAGCCCGGGTGACCCACAGCAAATTAAAATGTCAATCAAAGAAGTCAAAACTGTCTACACCAAGCTCAGAAGAGCATGATGACTCTTCAGTCTCTCATCTTTGCATTCAGCCAACTCAGTACCACTAGGCGCCTTCCCTTTCTTAATGCGCAGGGCCAGGACATTTCCTCCAACTGCATCTCTTCACTGTCCTTCAGCTGGGTGACTTGGCTTTCCAATGTGGGGCGAGGAAAAGCAGGCCGGGGGGGAATATTGGACATGCTGTACAGTGACAAAAGTTTCTAAGCAGGCCTAGGGGTAACTGGTTTGGGGGAAATGACATTTTTGTCCAGAGCTCTGCCTTAAAGCTGAAGTGTTTTTTGGAGCCTGAAAGAGGTTCCTTTTGATGTGTCCAGTAGGCACCCAGTCCGTTTTAGGAATGCCAACAAGGGGTCTCTTGAACCCACACAGAGCTGATGCCCATTTTCTGCAGCTTGAGTGGAGTTAGGAGGCTTGGTTAGCAGACTTGGAGCATAGATGAAGTCTTTCATGAGCCTAGGAGACGGCTCGAAGTTGAGCTGTCCGGGAGACCACCCTTGTTTTGCAGCAACTTCTCGGCATTTGGAAATTTGTTTTCATTCCATTGTGGGATGAAAGCAAAAATCCTGTGAACGATTTGGGGAAAGAGACTGATCAAAACCATGTTTTTCATTTAAAAGAAACCTGAGCTTTTTCATAGAGGTCCCAAGCTTTCTGGGGCATCCAATAAAGCCTGCCAAGTAGAGCCTTCATCAGAACCAACCCATCTCCACTTGTTTTGGGCCTAGATGAAAACAACCTATTTCTATGAAAATTGATTCAGTTTGAAATGTCCCCATTGGCTCTGTTTTAAACATTTGCACTCTACAGATTAGCATTTCAGAACCTCGTCTGAGGCTAGGGTGCTGGATCATGGCTTTAAGGAGCTTGGACCTGTGAGCCCGGTGCACGGCAAATGTGGTGAGTGGGTCATTGCATGGGAGGATATTGCCTCCCCAAAAGGGAGCTTATGGCAGATAAGCCAGCTTGTCTGGCTATTCATGCACAGTCTCTACACAATGACTTCTAAGCTGAGTGTGTTTTCTCTTTCCCTTCAAGATATCTGAATGAGCTTTCCTTGGGGAACAGATTGTCTGATAAGCCCAGGGCTTCCCTGCATCTGTTT